AATGGAGTTAAAATTTTGGGAAGTGAAGACGAGGGCCTATTTTAACATAATATAAAAGTACTGAACTTTACTGCTTGTGTTGTTCCACTGGACTGTCGTGCATTGATAGTCATCCACAGACTTGAAGATTCAATGAATACTCACTGTATCTGAGAAAAGCATTTTAAAACACCGTATACGACGATAATTAGGAGAATTTAAACAGCCCTTGATAAAAACGCTCCGTTCGTCAACGTTTTACCTCCTTGCCGATGGCTCACAAATCAACGCACTGTGCCTCGCAGAGTGAACCACAAGTTGAGAAGGCACTTAGGCGGCATAAACAAATTATCATCCAATGGTATTTTACCGACAAATGGAGAGCACACTCACGAAGCTTTTCTGCCCTTTTGGGCGTCATCAGGTGGTGGTAGCTCAACTCCAGTGTAGCAGCGGAAATTGCCGCCACACTCGAGTTTCGAACTCACGTCATCCTGTCCGCTACTAAGACACGAACAACTATCGTAATGAACTGAGAAGGCTTTGATGCGAAATCCGAGATCTTTTGAGAACAGAAAACTTTACAGACCAGCAGAAAATTAAAAAACCGAAGCGATAGCCGATTGGTTGAATAGATTACTTCGAAAATACTGAAGTAAAATATGACCACTGTGAGTGCAATTAATGGTTAAAAAATCGGCTTAAAAATAATGAATCATGCGATAGTTTGAACGTCAGCTTCAAAGATTTCTGCCGCATGCTTTAGCAGACTGAGAGCAAACGCTGTGATAGTCGACTTGCGCTGCATCAATCGAACCCCCTCTTCTCTCACCCGATCGTGTCCGGTATCATGACAGCGTCAATAAAAACGGATATGGGGCCGGGCAAAGTTGAGGGGCACGGTAAACTCTGCACCTAAGCGTACCACCACAAACCTTGCTCCAACACAAACACCTGACCGAAAAACGCGCAAGGAGTATACTGCGCGTGATGTGGACGGGAGGACCAGAGGTAGAAATACAAAGTACAGAAGCGAGAGAAAGTTGGAGTGAAGTAGCAGAATTAATGAATAGGATATGGCCAATATTCGCGACCTTATCTCCAGTATCTCACTGGATGCGAAACGTCTTTATCCATCGAGAAACAATTTGTAAGATGCATTCATAGGTCGTTTTCGATAACCGACACACGTTGTCAATTCCGAGAACGACATGATTTCAGGTAAGTTAAGCCGTTTCCATGTAGGAGTCACAGACACTTAGACGTGGCAGAACTAATGAAAGTATCCGCATAAACTGGCATGGCTTAGAGTCCCACTTTTCATGCCAGTGTCGTTCGAGTCCGTTGGCTGTATTTCTTACCAACCAGGAATCGCTGGGGTGTGCAACGTTCCTATCCTTAAACACTTATGCTGGACTTGCACACCCGAGCCCTAATGTATTTAATATTGCAGACATTTTTATCTTCCGATTTTGCAACTGTCTTCTGTAAGCAAGTGAGTTTGGGAACATACGTAAAAAGTTTTGACCTCGCTGGAACCCATTCACAATTGCATTAATGAGCATCGGATAATAAATACTAAATAACCTTTACTTTTAAATGTTAAGTAGCGTTTGCTAATTCCAGTTGCTTGACCAGTATCAATCTAGACCAACCGTGCACAGACCACCATTTTCAAATTAGTTACTTATCGATCGGTGGTCATCTACGTGTGGGAAGATAATCCTTCAGACAGCATCTTTCGATTATGTCGCGGTTGCATACACCGACTTTCGGTTCAACAGTAGACTGAAGCATTGATTATCACCTACGCCAACTGGAATTACTTTTCAAAGTCAAGCAAAAGCCAAAAGGCAACTAGGAACCTGGCTTCAAGGTAGAACAGCTGCTTCGAGGTTTGTCTGCGTAACCATGAGGATATTTTCTCTGTGCTATGTTTTCCCAAATCCCTGTTTATTGCTACTTTTCTTGACAAACCTCAGTGCCAGTCGGGCGGAGGAGTATTTAGAATTTCATGGATTATTCGGTGACGACATTTTGAGTATGCTCTATGGGCCATGGCCGGGATGGCCAGCACGAGACATCATCTATGACAAGGACACTGGACGGCTCTCTCACGCCGCCGTTTCACTCGAACTCGAAGGATTTTGGGTCCCTACAGAATGGTGCAGTCGTGGGGAAAAACTGGATTACTTAATCTATAAACAGGATTACATAAATCTCACGCGCTTTACGTCTACATCTCTGTCCTCGCTACGTGAACAGTGTTTCAAAGCAAACATTTTGGCACTAAAACAACAGAAGTACATTCAGCGGAATCTCATGAGCGTAAAGGTTGCTCTCGAAGCAAGGGGAATCAAAGTCTTTCTGGGACAACAGACATATCTGGATTCTATTCGTTATGGCCAATTGGCCTTCCATGACAAGGAAATTGAGCTTCTGATAAACCCGAGGGACTACGCACCTGCACGCGACATATTGCAATCTCTGGCTAGTCAGCCTACTAGCGGCATGCTATTTACATCCGTCAACAACATTTCTGTCGGCCTAGCCTGTGACCCTGATGAAGAACCAGTGCATAACACCTCGAAACCAGTTTTAGGACCAATAGGAAAAAGGAACGTCTTCTCTAACTGCCTTATCAACGTCACATTCCTGAAAATTTCTGGGGAAGTAGCACGTGATCAAAGTCGTCAAAATTTCGAATATCGACCCCTTTATGGCGTACTATTCCAAGCCTTGGATAACGATGGAGCGAAACCTCAGACGCAATTCTGTTTTACGAGGTCTTCTAACGTTGTAGAGTCGGAAGAAATAATTAGCATTCTGGACCGCAATCTTTTGACAAGAGGAAGGAAACTCCTGTGCAATCATATTGCACTGCCTTGTTACCTACTAGATGATCTTCAACCAAGAAGCTACACATTTAATTATTCGAAGCACAGCATTGAACTAATGCTAACCATGGAAAATTCCACTTGCCGGTGGCAGTCCGCATTTGTGAAAAGCCTCGATCCTCATTATGTTTACCACCATGAGGACGAACTGGTACCCGCAATAACCCGAATTGACATTTAGTAAAACAATGTTCACACTTAAAAATTTTGCAGGCTATGAATATTTATGGTCAGTTCTTTGAATCGATGTTGTAAAGAGCTCGTGATATTTCGAAATTAAATGAATGCATTAATCGAACAGTTTTGTCTTAATGAGCCAAGTTAAGAAGCCTTGTATGCGGTACAATGAGCTTAGGGTCCAATCGACCTGTTTCTTGACGACTGGTGCAAACTGGCTCAGTAAAAACCCTAATTAAGTGTTCAGTTTGGTCTATTTAGGGAAATGACACAAGCCAATCAAATGGAACAAAGGCAACTAGAGCAGACAGTTAAGAAAGAAAACTGCTTGGGATTTTTAAGAAAGATAAACCATCAGGGCAGCACTCTATTTCGAACTGGGGTGGAGATCGTAGGGGTCACAGAGATCGTCACCGAAGTGTAGAAGGCGCGACCAGACA